GGCATTACCCATGGCTGTGTCCACAGGGCATGGTGCAGATCACCAACTACCTCTGCCAGTTTGTAGGAACGGACTGTTGGGAATGTGTTCTAGTATATTAATTTATAACAACTTTGAAAAACTCATATTTCTAATAATTAGGCTTAATTTACAAACACAATTTGAGTTCTAGCTGCATTCCCAATTCCAGCTTCCCATCAGTGCAGACCCCAGGAAGCAATAGTTGATGGCTACACCCACATGGGAGAACTAAAGTGAATTCCCATCTCTTGGCTTTAGCCTGGTCCAGCCCAGGCTGTTGCAGACATATGGATTGTAAAAGAGCAGATGGGAAACAGCTCTATTTCTTTTGTGTCTCTCTGCCTTTCAAATAAATAACAAAAGAATAAATCTAAAAATTTTAAAAAATGAACCAAGTAATAAATCTACAAATTCTGATTTGCTGATAATGTGCCTTTGAGAGGCTTAGGCTGGGCATTGTGGCACAGTGGGTTAAGCCCACACTTGTGATACCTACATCCCGTATTCAAGTGTGCAGCTTTGAGTTCCACTGCGGCTTCCTATCCAGCTTCCTGATGATTCTCATCCTGGAAGGTAGCAGATGATCGCTCAAGTCCTTGGGTTCCTGCCACCCATACAAGGGACTCAGATGGATTTCCTGGCTCCTGGCTTTGGTGTGGTCCAGCCCTGGCTGTTCCAGGCTTCTGGGGAGTGAACCAGCAGATGGAATCTCGTTCACTCGCTCTCTCTCTTTCTCACTCTGCCTTTCAAATAAAAAAAATTAAATAAATAAATATAAAAAAATTAAATATATCTAAAATTATTTTAACTTAATTACCTTAAATATGTTAACCAATGCAAAAGCCCTTTTAAAATGTGTTATGCTTCTGTGAGTGCTTGGATAACTTCATGTGCTGAATTCATAACCTTTATAAAGCTACTTAATTATCAGAAACCTCAAAAGCCATTTGAAAATATGAAACCTTTATTTTTTAACTGAGTTTTGTTTTCCTGCTTAGCATGGCTCTAAAATCAAAGTTGTGATATTTATTAACTGTCTTGGCAAAACTTGAGGTAATACATCTTTCACATTTGATTGAGAAAGAGAGAAATTTAATCCTACCAAGATCATCATTATCAGTTCTTCCTCATGACTTTTTCCTAGGAGGTTTTTACATGCCAGATGGTGCTCTGAAGACTCCTTAGACCAACATTTGATAATGGCAAACTGGGAAAGGAAAAATCTAGTCGAGGTAGAAGATTCAATTCCATATTTTGTTATCTGGCTCACTATGTCTAAACTAGTCAATATTTAGTTTGTATTAAATATTGTAGTTTTTTTTTTTTCACCCATCTGTAAGAGTATCTTCATTTTCAGTAAAGACCTGTGTTTGGGGCAATAATTAGTCACTCAATTGCACCCACCCTCAATTTCCTTGAATTCCATCAATACTAACGAGTACCATATACCCCATGTTCCTGATGCTTTCTCTAAACATCTAGTTCTAACACACAAACACATAGACACACACACACAGAGATGTAGCTATTTTCTCTCTTTCTGTCCCTCTGACAATATTTCCTGTGTTAGCTCATATGCACTCAGAATTACATGTGCACAGACTCTTCTCTTACTGGATTCTGAGGTCTCTGAAGTCAGGGTGCATCATGTATTCATGCTTGGATCCCAGGATCTAGCCCTGTGCCGTGCTATTAACAGGCATCCATTGTGTGTTGATCAATGATTGACTGAGGGGTATGTGATTACTGTAGAAATATTCGTAAATTCTGGAAGGTAATACTATGATTCTCTGACTATATTGCTGTCGATATCTGTTACCATAGTGACTAAAGCAGATATGTGATTTTCAAGTTTAATTTTTCACATTTTTCATGTGACAGAAGTAAATCTCAAAATTATTAGCTGGAATAAGAAAAAAAAAGTCGGGAAAGGGATCTGAAGTTATTTGCTGAAATTAACTCATATTTAGAATGAAAGTATTTAAAAGGAAGAAAGAAACTGACTAAATGAACTAAAAGATATGGAGAAAGTTAGCTCCTGTAAGTTTTTTTTTAATGATTAGTTTGCAAAACAGCAAGGGTAATTGGAGTAAACAGAATTAAGGGCTTAAGGGCTCTGACACTCAGCTCTGATTATTTTAATGGGCACTTGATGGGGTGGAGACGGCCTGTGGGAGAGGGGAAGGGAAGAAGTAGTGTGGACCTAAGCTTGCAATTTACATGCTAGAATGGCTCAAATTACATTTTGTACTCTTTTTAGCACATTTTAAAGCACATTTAAGCCAACATTTTTATTCTTAAAAAAAAAAAAGAAAACTAAAACTTAAAATGATTCATTTATGGTACATAATATTGCATTGTACTTATTGCTTTTTTTCCCTTATTACTTTTCTGACAACCATACAGATTTAGCTTTCTGTTAAGACCATTAAAACGATTTTACTAAGGCTCTGCCTGGATGCTTGAGAGAGAGGAAGCATACTTTCTGAGTTCCAAAATAGCAATATTTGAAAATATGTGCATGAAAGAACTCTTGTAATCATTCTTGGAATTGATTTTTTTCCTACCTACTGCACACTCCCCCAAACTTTAAAAAAAAAAACAAAGCTTTGGGTGGAGTTAAGAACGCTTTTCAAATGTTAAACAATAACTGGAAATCCTGAAAATGTACTCTACTTTATCCAGGGGGAAACACTTTAAAGTGCTGTGAATTGTTTAGCAAGGGATTTACTGAATGGTTTCTATTTTGAACAGAAAGTTCAGTTTTAACTACCTGCAATATCATGCCATCTGTGCTTATTTTCCTTTCCAAAACACGTTTTTTTTTAATAGAACATGCACATGATTCTAATAACACAGATAAATAACTTGACTCAACAAATTCTTTACCCTAACCAAATGATGAAATTAAAGATCTTAGAGAATGTAGCACAAAACAGTGATTTTGATTACAAATGTAAATCATACAAAGCATATTTGTAAATGAAAAATCTTACAATACTCTGATCAATCAGTGTTCTATAAATATTTACCAGAGTGTAGTTGCTATGAAGTGAGAAAGAGATGGGTACACATACCCACAGTGTAGTTAGTGGACAGAGAACTGGTTCAGAAGCCAAAAAGCCTAGGAAGCACACAATCCCTCTGATGCCAAGTTCTTCAAATCTACACCACTTGCCTGGTCAGTGCTCTCATGTGCCAGGGGCAGCAGCATTGGTATATGGGGACCACTCAAAATAAAATGCACATTTCTTTATAATGTATTTTGGGGTGAGCATCTGGCACAGACGTTATGACACCACTTAGGATGCCCACTTCCCACGTTAGAGCAACTGGGTTCCAGTCCAGATTCTGCTCCTGATTCCAGTTTCCTGCTAAAGCACACCCTGGGAAGCAACAGGTAATGACTCCAGTACTTAGGTCTTCGCTACCTACAAGAGGGATATGAATTGGGTTAACTCTAGGTTTGGCTGGGCTACACCTGGCCACTGAGGACATTTGGAGAGTGAAACAGAGGACTGGAGGTCTCTCTATGTGTCTCTGTTTTTTGCTCTCTCTCTGTCTCTCTGCTTTCTCAAATACAACAAACAAATATATTTTTTTAAAATAATGTATTTTGAATTTCTTGAAATCCTGTGCAGTGATTGCAATTGTAAATATCATTCTGACAATTTTCTAAAGTAGAAAGTGGCTTTAATCTCTTCTCTGCCAAATCATCCATGAAGAAAAATGCAGACATTTTATTTACAGAGTATTTGCGTCTTTAATGAATGCTTAAATTCCATTCATCATTTTTTATTGCAGCCTGACATTTCTTGGAGACTGTTCACAAGTATCCCAAAGTATGATTTCACTGTGGCTGTATTCAGACAGACATGCTTTCTAATATCAGCGCCACCGCTGACTCTAAGAGGTTTATGTGGTGCTAGGTTTTCTGTTCTTGGAAAATGGTGGACGTGTTATAAGCTACCCCAAAAACAGCTGGGCATGCAGGACCTAGTGCCTAGGAATTCCTTGGTTCTGCTGGAGCCTTTGGAGGGATCAGGTTAAGCAGGACAGTTCCTGAACACCCTAATATTCTCTGGAAAAGAAAACAGAAAGAGAAGAGGAGGACTGAGCTGCTGCTGCCATTAGAAAGTCATGGGGATTTCCACCGAGGAAACTCGGAGGCTCCTAATTCTCTCAGTTCTCACTGTGTGCTCCTCTCTGGATCAACTGCACACTTCCCAGAAACACAAGCCAGCGGGCAAGTCCTGCTGTCCATTTCCTTTTGCCCAGAAGAAGCTCTGAAACCAGTTCTTATTTTGTTTTGTGGAAATGCTTACTGTGTTCTGTGTGTACATATTTATACCCTGTGTCTATGCGTCTGTGTATGTGTGTGTAGTTTGGTTATTTATTACTTTACATTATTCATGTATAGCTTTTCTTGTACATCAACTTTTTTCCTAAGGTTGCTTTATAGTCATTATATAGAAAAATTATATTTCATATCTTAATGTTTTTTTCATAACCTCTTTGTTCTCTGACATCTATGGGATATATTAGACAAATTTTTACATGTGTGTTCAAAAAACTGTCCATAATTAAGAAGCACATATTAACTTACCAATCCTTCAATAAAACAAGCATATACCATTGACAACTTAAAAGTTGATAATATAATGTCTACTTAAACACTATTATAATACATGCAATGAAGCAGTATTTCTTTTCAACTGCTATCTTTAGGCAGTTCGTTTCATTATATTAATTTTCACATTTTGTCACATCATATAAAATGCCAGATAGTGATGAGTGTTTTTTTTTTTTTTTGAGTTAGCAGTGATGCCAGTGATGAGTGTTTTAGTATCTCTAACAAAATTTTATGCCAATGGTCAGTCTTAAAACACAACCCACTTAGCACTTCAACTTAGTACTCACTGGAAACATAACTGGACAAAGGACAGAGAATCAGTCTTGCCAAATTTCACAATACTCACGAAAGAATATTTCCAATGTAGGCATAATAGGAACAACAGTAGGGAGTGGTCCCATCACAGCAGTAAGACCTGCAGTCTTTCCCACACTGAGCAAGGCAGTCATCTACAAAATAAAAACCACAGAGATATAGTTACAGTCGGGGTCAGCATTGTGGTGCAATGGGTTAAGTTGCCGCCTCCAATTCTGGTATCTCTTATGGACACCGGTTCAAGTCCTAGGTGCTCCAATTCCAATCCAGCTCCCTGCTGATGTGCCTGGGAAAACAGTCAAAGAAAGCTCAGGCGCTTGGGACCCTGTTACCCATATGGGAGACCAAAATTCCTGATTCCTGGCTTCAACATGGTCCATCCACAGCGGTTATAACCATTTGGGGAGTGAACCAGCAGATGGAAGATCTCTCTCTCTCTCTCTCTCTCTCTCTCTGTCCTTCTCTCTGTATAACTCTATCTTTCAAATAAATACACTAGGTATTAAGAAAAAGAAGGAGTTACAGTTGTAAAATCATAGCTTCAGGAACAATTATCTTATCTGACATCTTAACCAGTCAGTGACCAGCCTTTAGTGCATTTAAATCTTCAGTTGCATACTCAGAATCCTACAATATTTCTAAGAGTCAAAACTAGCTTTTTTTTTCTTTCTTCATTAGATTCTAATCTGGTTAAGCAAAGGACATTCTTTAATTCTCCTGCACCAAGAAGACTAGAAAGTACCACAGTAGGCACTCAGGGTTGTTGAATGATAGATTGAAGGGGGAAATGAACAAATTATTTAACTATAATCATTTTTAAAGACAAAGCCTTCTGGTCTTAAGGTATTATATTGTCCCTTAATGTAAAGGGTTCTGGGCATGGATAATACTAAACAGTGATAATTTTAAAATAATGTATATTTTTATATGACAATGCTTTATGATTCTCCTTTTATGTGTTTTTTTACCTTCATAATGACAGATTGAATACATATAGTAACACAAATAAGTCTGCATTCTTACAGTCCATTTGGATTGGAAGAAGTTCCCATAGATAATTAACTGTAAATAATTAAGAGCTTAACGCTGAATTATAGAATCACTAAGTTATAAATCGCGTTGTGCAAATGGGGAAAGGTATTTTCTGATTAAAAAGATATATTGGAGCCAAAAAGGAACCAAAGTTACTATTTTTCTATATATTTTTCAGCAAGAAAAATTATACTAGCAACACTGAATAGAAATTATTCTAGTTTTTAAAAATTTTTTATTCCAGCTAAATGACTTATGTTTAATAAGTTAAGGTTATCACCGAGCTATAATTAAGAGGATAAACTGTGATGGATATGTGAGTTTCAGATATATTATTAGGAAACCATTAAGTACAATATAATCTTTCAAGTTGAATGAGTCTATCCAAAAATCACAAAGTCAGTCACTCTTAATTCAATTCCTGAAAGTAATAGCAGCTATATTATAAATCGCATAAAACTTTTGCTTTCTTATCAAAGTTATAATATTAAAAATACAAAACATTATATTTATGCCTACATATCCATGTAATTGATTTGCCTACAGAGAAAAATTTAGGTTCCTTTAAAATCTCCTTGTCAAGATGATTCTGCACAAATGCATGTGATCAAAAGGTACCAAAATGCATCTGCCTTTATCAATAATACAGGGCTTTTGTGTAACAAATGAAAATATTACTATTTTTCAGTTTTATTTCTACATAATAGGTTGATAAACACAAACCTGGAGGTTCTTCTCTAGATTGTGGTAAGAAGAAATGAGAGGGAAAAACAACTCCTTTGCAACAATCAGTACCTCTACATAAATCCACTCTCAAATTTTGAAGACAGTTACACAAAATAATGATTTAGACCAAGAAAGGAGCTAATATATCGACAATAAATGCTCTTTGTAGAGTATTTTGTATTTTAAAGGCTTCTTATTCTCAGTGAATTTATAATGCTCTCATTTTCAGTTTAATTTTTCAAATATGTATATACAGTTATCTCAAGGGCTAAGCAAATATGTTTTACTTCATGTTCTTAAGATTTTAAGAGAGCTAATATCCCCACTATTCTGTCACAGTAGGACAATCAATGAGTAAGGAACTTCACGGATGCCCCGGATGATACTCAAGATGCTGACATTTTGTTAAACCCTCCTTGAATGTGAGCATATTTCAAAAAGTTCATAGAAAAAGGAATAAAAAGATAAGTTTATTTAGGTGCAAAAATTTGAAATCCAAGTATATGAGAGTTCTTCAAATAGTTCATGAAAAGTAAATATTATGAAAAACCATGAGTGAATTTCAAAATTGCTCACACTCAAATTTATCTTTTAATTACATTTCCACCAACTTTCTAAAGTACTCTCTTTAAAAAGATTCAATTACTACTATTGTACTCCATTACCAATATCAAAAGGACATGGTGTTACCAAAATATTTTGAGCCAACATTACACAAAGCTAAGGCCAAACTCTTGTAGCCAAGAAACTAGATTATACCTGTAACAAACATCTAGATCATGTCACATATGTCTTGTAATTTTTATGGCATTTTCCAGTAATCTTGTCTATATCACAGAATTAAACTACAAAACAAATACAGGATTTAATAGTATGGCAAATACATTCACAGTCACAATCTTGTCATGAGTTGAGCTTCTGATAATATCTCAAAGCTTATTTTGTTGTGTTGCTTTCTCTTGCTTATTTGAAAATAATTCTATGAACAGCATTTCTACTATCCAGAAGAATTCTCTCAGTTGTGAAAGAATGGAGCTTTCCCATTGTCCTCAGAAGACATTTTTATCATCCAAGTCAATATCCCTGAAAATCAGCCAGTCCGAACTTTCTTCAATTGTTGTTTAGCTAAAAGCATGATATGGAAGAAGGTTGCCCAATTTACCCCCATCAGTCGTTCAGTTTAAGGAACGTGGAAGTACAGGAAAAGAGATATCTGGCATGAAACACTTGCTTAGAAACAACTCTAGCAAGTTATAGCTTAGGATAAGACAGGAAGGAAAGGGAGGGGTTAGAAGTCACTGGTTGAGGCCCAGGTTAAACCTTGACCAAATCCTGTCATTGTAGCGAGAAGTGGGGGTTGGACATTAATATAAACACTTCCTTGGGTCTCTTTCCAAAAGTGACTCCACGGTTAAACACAATGCTTTATGTCTACCTGTCTTGCTCTTATTTGCTTAACAAATAGAACATGAATTGAATACAGTTGCTTAGGGATAATAATTCAGATTATAGACAATGCATCTACTTCAGTTTATGTCCCATGAAGCCAACAATTTATCTGACACAGTTCTAAACTACTTTTATTTCTGTGGTGTTTGGGCATCAAACTTCCAGTTGTATCTCTTAGTTCCAACCAGACAGAATTACCTATAGTTGCATACCCACATCTCATGATTTCTGCCTTTGTTCGCACCATATCCTGGATCTGACTCCATCTCCTTCTGTCCATGGCTTCTCTATCCTTCATAGGTCAGTTTATTCCAGGTCCTCCTCCATTCAATTCCCCTGAGCAAATATTTCTTGATCTCCTCTTATGGACCAGGGATTTTGCTAGTGTTTTAAGATATTTTTATTGAGCAAAATAGACATTGTTCTCACTGGGCTTATAGTCCTAAGCCACCAATAAAGTCTCTTCCTCCGAACACCTACAGTATATGATGACTGTAGCTCTCCCAGCACAACTTTTATATAATAATTTATAGTAACACCTTATTTCCTTAAAGAAGACTCAAAGATGACCTCTTCTGTATGTCACTCAAGATGCATCACTCGACAAATGTTAGGTTACTGAAAATGATAAGCATAAAAAAGCCCTTAAATAACTTATTAGCCACACACATCTTATCAAAGACAATCAAGTCAATCTAGTATTGGTTTGACATTTATTTGTAGGGAACGATTCAGGAGAAGAGAAATGGAGTTAAACTCTCTAACTACCAACTTTGTTGTTGGCCAGCTTCATTGCTCTCCTGAGGCCTGGAGGGTTGCACACCTAGCAATAGGGGAAGGGATGGTCATGTGTGCAAACTGGCTTTCAGTTCAGCACAGGAAATAACTGACAAAAGAATAAGAGAAAGGTGTAGCTCATTGGAATGGTTAAATAAGAGTGAGTGAGGGTATTAACGTTTTATTTACTCTTTGCTTGCTTTTGCTTTCTTTGGTAAGTAGAGGAGGTGGAAAAAAATCATTGCTTCAATTGAAATCTAAGGAGGTTTTTTTACGTAAAAAAGAAGTAATGCAATTACTTCTCAGTCCCTCAAAATACGAAAATCTTATATAGAGTAAAGGAAAAGAAATCAAGGCTGTTAATCTCTTCACTAAATAGGAGTGACTTGTCCTACTATTACGAATTTTTGTATCAGAAAGTCAGAATTTCCATGTCCCAAAATACATTTAAAATAACTCCTAGACAGTCACTAATTTGCATTTCAATAAGGATTGAAACTTTTGTAGAAATGATGATGACTCCCTCAGGAAGGGTCCCATGGGAAATTTAGTTCTTTCAACATTCAGGTAGCAATGCTGAACAATTCATTTCAGGTGTGGCTTTGTTGTATACAAAAACATAAATTGGAGCATTATGTTTATATTTAGCTTTGTAGGACCATGGGTAAGTCTGTGATTCCTGTCATAGGCCATCAGAAACCTGAAAATAGTTTACAAAGAACTTTGCTTTTGGCTTGGAACTGTTTTATAAACATGAACAGACGCAAAGACCACATGTGTTAATTAACTTTATATATGAATAACCAATGAAAGGCCCGTTCAGGGCTCCATATCAATCACAAAATAAGAAATTCCAGTTTGCTTCATTAATATGTAGCAATTTTCATGAAGAATAATTAGAAGGAAGGAACGAGATGCCTTTCAGCTATAAACCAGTGCTTGCTCAAGTCCAGGAACAGGTTAGACTGGGTGAATTCACAACTCTCAAACACTTAACATCTGAAATCAACAACTCCAGTTGTCCTAGGTACCAACCACGTTTGCTAACGTTACAAATAAAAATGACAGTCTTAGGCTTTTTTTTTTTTTCTTTCAATTTCTAACAGGGAAAACAGAATATTCAGAAAGTGGGAGGTGGAAGGGGATGTGGGGGCATAAAGCGAAATGGAATAGGTACCAGCTGAGCTCCTTTTAGGAGGTTAGCAATACCTCAGACTTCAAAGAGCTTTAACAAGAAATATTTCCCTCACCCTTGAGCCGCTACCCTCACCCCAACATTTCTCTTGAGTCCTGGGTACAAGTGGGTGCCTTTTGCTATCCAGAGAGTAAGCCTAAGTGTGAGATTGCGGTTTCCAAGTTAGTTTGCCAAGAGAAAGAAAAAGAAAAGCAAACTAGCTTGCAAGCCAGAAGCTAAAGGAACAAAGCCAGTATGTTGAGCAGATGGTAAAACCCAGGGGTGTCAGTGGTCGCACCTCGGGGACCACAGGGTCTCTGCCCTACCACAAAGGTCCCAGTCCGTCCCAGGTTCACCCAAAGACCCTGTCCCTCTCCCGTCGCCCTCTGTCACTGACCTGCATAGATAAACAGCAGCGCCAACTTGGGAAGAAAGACCCCTGGACGCCCGGGCAGCCTCGACCCTTCCATGCAAGCCAGTGGCCTGAGCTCCTGCGCCAGGACAGATTGGAGAGAGGCTGGGAGCCCCGGGCGAGCCCGGAACCTGGCGGGGACTGGGGGGGGATGCCGGGAGGTCAGACAGACAGAGCAGCGCTCCGGAGAGCAGGGTGGAGCAGGAACCTGGCCATTGCCCCAGGGAGCATTGGACGCCAGCTGGGCTGGGCGCGTGGCGGACGGCGCGCGCGGGGTTCCGCAGGGCTGGGGAGCGCGGAGTTCCCGCGGGGCTGAGCTGGGCGCCGAGGTGTCTTTGTCTTGCCCCGCGGCGCTGGGGCACGCGGGAGGCGGGCTCTCAGGCGTCCTCGGTCACCGGGGCTCACATTTCATCTCCGCGGGTGGCACTAGAGCCAGGCCAGGGGCGGGGTGGACCCGACTCCTCCCCGTTTTCTGGTTCTCTGTTCTTCCTTCTCTGGAGCAGCTCTGGCCTGGTTGTGCCTAAGAGAAGACTATGGCCTTGGCTGCTGCGATGGCTGCTGCTTCTCACCTGACCCTCCACTGCAGCTTTTCTTAGCAGTGGATGAAGAACTTTGAACTTTGTTTTGGAGTGTGAACACATGGAGGGAATTTTTAAGATTGAAGGTATTGGACAAAGAATGACAGTGAGCAAAACCCAAGAGAACTGGAAAGTTCACAGTGTAAGGGGGTCTTCAAAAGTTCATGGAAGATGTGTATCATAAAAAAGTCCATGGAAATTTTGCTGGGAAAACTGGATCTCCATATGCGGAAGTATGAAGCAAGACCCCCTGCTTTATACCTACCACAAAAATCTGATCAAAATGGACCAAAGACTTAAACCTATGATCTGATATCATAAAATTATTAGAGAACATTGGGGAAACCCTGCAAGACATTGGCATAGGCAAAGACTTCTTGGAAAAGATTCCAGAAGCACAGGCAATCAAAGCTAGAATTAAAAATTGGATTACATCAAATTGAGAAGCTTCTGTACTGCAAAAGAAACACTGGTCGAGGTGAAGAGGTAACCAACAGAATGGGAGATATTATTTGCACACTATGCAATTGATAAAGCATTAATATCCAGAATCTATAAAGAGCTCAAGAATCACAACAAAACTAACAACTTATTAAGCAGGCCTTTTTCAATAGTAGAAATTCAAATGGCCAACAGATGCATGAAAAAATGCTCAGGATCACTAGCCTCCAGGAAAATACAAATCAACACCACAATGAGATTTTACCTCACTCTAGTTAGAATGGCCTCATAAATCAACAAACAACAAATTCTGGCAAGCATGGGGTTGGGGTACTCTAACCCAACCCACTGCTGGGGGAATGTAAACTGGTGCAGCCACTGTGGAAGATGGTATGGAGATACCTCAGAAATCTGAATATGGACCTACCACATGACCTAGTCGTCCCACTCCTGGGAATTTACCCAAGGGAAATGAAATGAGCATCTGAGTTATATGTACCCCCATGTTTATTGCAGCTCAATTCACAATAGCTAAAATATGGAATCAACACAAATGTCCGTCAACTGAAGACTGGATAAAGAAATTATGGGATATGTACACCATGGAATACTAAACAGTGGTTAAAAAAATGAAATCCTGTAATTTGCAATAAAATGGACACATCTGGAAACCATTATACTTAGTGAAATAAGCCAGTCCCAGAAGGACAAAAACCATATGTTCTTCCTGATCTGTGGTAACTAATAAAGTACCTAAAAGGTAATCTATAGAAGGGAAATTGATACTTTGAGATGTGAGGACTTTGAACAGCCCTTGTTTCAAATATTGAGGAACAGTTTTTTTAAATACTATTTGTTGAACTATGTACTTATTATAGAATTAATCTTAAGTGTGTATAAAGTTAATTGAGAATAGATCTTAATAAAAAATAAGAATGAGAATAGGAGAGGGAAGAGGAAGAAGGGTGGGAGTGCAGGTGGGAAGTCAGGTAGTGTGGGAAGAATCACTATGTTCCTAAATTTGTATTTATGAAATAATGCATGAAGTTTATATACCTTAAATAAAAGATTTCTGGGAAATAAAAAAGAAAAAAGTTCTTTCCACCAAAATAAATGTATCTTTTCATTTAATTGCTTCTGTGAACTTTTTTAAATACCCGGGCATGAAATATTTTATGAAAGCTGATAAAAAGTTTATTATTTATTAAATACATGAAGCATTTCTAGTAAGGTCAGGGAAACCAAAGCAAAATCAGAAGGCACACTGCCATGCTAGTATGATACTGCTGTGGAATTACTAGCCCATGCTAGTCAAGAGAAAGGAGAGTATTTATAAAAACTGGAACAAAATTATCTTTAGCAAATGAGATGCTGTTTATGCAGAAAACCAAAGAGAATCAACTCTTAGTATTAGTAGGGCCTGGCACTTTATGCAGAAAACCAAAGAGAATCAACTCTAAGTATTAATAGGGCCTGGCACTGTGGCATAGTTGGTGAAGCTTCTGCCTTCGGTGCTGGCAATCCAAATGGATGCCAGTTTGAGTCCTGGCTGCCTCACTTCGGATCCAGATCCCTGCTGAGGGCCTGGGAAAACAGTGGAGGATGGCACAAGTGCTTGTGCCCCTGCACCCATGTGGGAGACCCAAAGGAAGCTCCTGGCTTTGGATCGTCCCAGCTCCAGCTTTTGGAGCCATTTGAGGAGTGAACCAGCAGATGGAAGACCTCTCTCTCCCTGTCTCTCTTTCTGTCTGTAGCTCTGCCTACCCAATAAATAAATAAATAAAATAAAATAAAAATAAAATATTAATAGTTTTCTTTCTCTCCAATAAAAATAAAATGGAATGTACTCAATGTAAATATGAGGGGGATAAAGGTGGGAATAACTGAATAGAGATACTTCTCTAGACTAAGAAAATTCAATATCATAAAGATGATACAGTTCTATAATTATTCTATAAATTTGAGAATGAAACTGATCTCAATAAAAATAACAACATGATTTTTCTCAAACCAATCTGCCTCTGTTTTATGTGGAAAATAAACTTGCAAGGATATTTAAAAATGAGAATAAAGAATGGGGTTGTCCTCAGCAAATATTTAATATAACATCATAATAGTTAACATAGCTTTGATTAACCCTGCAGTAGATGGGCTCAATGTGGGAGAATGGAGAATACGAAGTAGCATAAATATCATCGACAATTTAATTTACAGTTTAAAAAAGAATCATTTTAAAGTAGTAGGAGAAACAATGAGTTACCCAGCAAATTAAGTTGGGAACATGAGTAGCCATCTGCAGGGTCTTATCAAAATAAATTCCAAATGAATTAAATGAAGATATAATTAAATAGTAGATAAAAGAATGAGAATAGCATTCAAATATTTGTGGAATTCAGAAGGCTTTTCTAGGCATTCTAAAAATGTCAGAAATCATAAAAGAAAATATTTTCAATTTTGTATAAGAATTAAAACTTTGTTAATTTTGTTGAACTTTTTTTTTTTTAATTTGACAGATAGAGTTGGACAGTGAGAGAGAGAGACAGAGAGAAAGGTCTTCTTCCTTCCATTGGTTCACCCCCAAAATGGCCACTACAGCCGGAACTCCGGCGATCTGAAGCCAGGAGCCAGGTGCTTCCTCCTGGTCTCCCATGTGAGTGCAGGGGCCCAAACACCTGGGCCATCTTCCACTGCCCTCCCGGGTCACCACAGAGAGCTGGACTGGAAGAGGAGCAACTGGGACTAGAACCAGCACCCATATGGGATGCCAGCACTGCAGGCAGAGGATTAACAAGTGAGCCACAGCACCGGTCTGAACTTTTAACTAGTTAAAAAATGCATGCAATGTGTAGGACCAATAAGGACCTAATCTCCTTTCTAAATAAGGAGCTGAAAAAAATCAATTAGAAAAACAGCCAATGGGGGCCAGCAATGTGGCATAGTGGTAAAGCTTTCACCTGCAATGCCTGCATCCCATATGAGCACTGATTCGAGTCTTGGTTGCTCTACTTCAAATCCAGCTCTCGATAATATACCAGGGAAAGCAACATAAAATCACTCAAGTGCTATGTGGGAAATCTAGAAGAAACTCCTGGCACTTGGCTTCAGTCTGGTCCAGACCTAGCTAATGTGGCTATTTAGGGAGTGAATAAGCAGATGAAAGATCTATCTCTTTCTCTCTGCAACTCTGCATTTCAAATAAATAAAATAAATATTTTAAAACAGGATAACAACCAATGGAATAATGAACAAAGATATAAACATGTTTTATATATGAACCATTTAAATATTTGAATGCATGGTATAATATTTAGGAGATGATCACATTTACTTCCCAAAAAGGAAATCAAATTGACAATGGGACATTATTTTGCATGTATGAAACCAATCAACCTAAATCAGTCATTAAACAATCAGACTTTTAGGGAGAGCAACACAGTCATTTCTATAAAAATTCAAATACACATGCACTTTAATTACATTGGTTTCCTCTAGGAACTTTTTATTACAAATACACTGATACAATGACATAGGAGGATGGCAGAATAGGTCACCTCTGAAATAAGCATAAACTACTGTGTTTCTATCCTGTTGTATTTATGACTCAATGAAAGCCCAACCCTCCACCTGATCCAAAAGAAGCCTGAGCTGTTCCTTCTCTCTCATGCCCAACAGCTGATCTGTCACCAAGTTCTCCTAGTTGTAACCTAAATACCATTAAACGTATACCAAATTTATCCTCAATTTCTACCTTCCTCTAGACTGTTAGAGACTCTATTATAAGTATACCTCAGGGATTTGTTCCAGATGGAAATTAGAATATATTTTCTTAAGCTACAGATTTAATCATGCTTAATCACCTGATTAAAACTCTGTGGTTTCCTTTTGCCCTTATACTAAAATCCAAGCATTTAATCCAAGATATTTTAGAAACTCCATCAATATGTCCTCTTCTGTTCTTAGCCTAGTCACAATATTCTGTTAGGGATCAAAATTACAAAATAACTGGGAAGATGGCTGGGGCCTGAGAAAATTTGTGCATGATTTTAAAAAGCTTACTGAGAAAAAGAAAATCAGACAGGCTTTAGATTTCTGTTTTGGAACCTGGAATTTAAGAGAGAGTCGTAAGAATTCTAAACGATTGAAAGATAACGATTATAGTCCAAGAATCCTATTCTCAAATCACAATCCATTAGTATTTGAGATTATGAAGATCAATGTTTATATAATTTTAAGACCCAAGAGAAACTTAACTGTCCAACCAAGATAGAACAGTTAAGTAAATCAGGATTTATGAATATTATGAGTTAATATTCAAAACTTTAAAATAGTGGGAAATTCCTTATTATTTATAGTTAACAGGAAAAATGATACAAAATGATATCAGCAATGGAAAAAT